TCACGTCCCCCGGCCCCTCACGTCCCCCCAACCCCTCACGTCCCCCGGCCCCTCACGTCCCCCCGAACCCCTCACGTCCCCCGGCCCCTCACGTCCCCCGGCCCCTCACGTCCCCCGGCCCCTCACGTCCCCCCGGCCCCTCACGTCCCCCCGGCCCCTCACGTCCCCCGGCCCCTCACGTCCCCCCGGCCCCTCACGTCCCCCCAACCCCTCACGTCCCCCGGCCCCTCACGTCCCCCCGGCCCCTCACGTCCCCCCGGCCCCTCACGTCCCCCCGGCCCCTCACGTCCCCCCAACCCCTCACGTACCCCCCGGCCCCTCACGTCCCCCGGCCCCTCACGTCCCCCCGGCCCCTCACGTCCCCCGGCCCTCCCGTCCCCCGGCCCCTCACGTCCCCCCGGCCCCTCACGTCCCCCGGCCCCTCACGTACCCCCAACCCCTCACGTACCCCCCGGCCCCTCACGTCCCCCCGGCCCCTCACGTCCCCCGGCCCCTCACGTCCCCCGGCCCCTCCCGTCCCCCCGGCCCCTCACGTCCCCCGGCCCCTCACGTCCCCCAACCCCTCACGTCCCCCCGGCCCCTCACGTCCCCCGGCCCCTCCCGTCCCCCCGGCCCCTCACGTCCCCCCGGCCCTCACGTCCCCCCGGCCCCTCACGTCCCCCCGGCCCCTCACGTCCCCCGGCCCCTCACGTCCCCCGGCCCCTCACGTCCCCCAACCCCTCACGTCCCCCGGCCCCTCACGTCCCCCCGGCCCTCACGTCCCCCGGCCCCTCACGTCCCCCCGGCCCCTCACGTCCCCCCGGCCCCTCACGTCCCCCCCAACCCCTCACGTCCCCCCGGCCCCTCACGTCCCCCGGCCCCTCACGTCCCCCCAACCCCTCACGTCCCCCGGCCCCTCACGTCCCCCGGCCCCTCACGTCCCCCCGGCCCCTCCCGTCCCCCCGGCCCCTCACGTCCCCCCGGCCCCCCACCTCTCTCGCTCACTGGCTTTCTGTTCAGTGTAGCCTGTGCGGTGTCCGCAGTTCCTCGGTGATGTGGTATCAGGGAGGGGAGGCGGGTGTTTAGGGAAGCAGAGAGGTGGGCGTGAGTTTGAAAAACCTGTCGGAGGTTGTGGTAGAAGAGGTATGAGGAGGGAGACTGGAGTTTGGAAATGGCTGAAATGACAGTAGTTTCTATATTAGAGCAACAAAGACTTTTCTCCCCCTTAGCGGTAAGTAGGAACCCGGTTGTTAGTCGATTGGCAGATCACTTTTCCGGGGGCATTAATCCCTTAAAAAAAAATGATAATTCGGTCACTCAATCCACGACTGTTTGTGGGACACTGCTGAGCGAAATTGGCTGCTGCGTTTCGACCACAAAATATACAGTCAATTCAATTTACAGCATATTCTGCGAAGCTCTTTGAGCCGTCTCGAACACGTGATAAGGCATTACGTCAAATGCAAGGATTATTATTATTAAAAAAACTACGACAGCCACCCTGTTAAAAAGGGAATATCTTCATTATTTAAAATGATTGGTTTAGCTCTGTTCTGCCTTCGTTGTCAAAATTCTTCACAATTTTATTGCCGCCCAGAAATGCGTCTCTCACTATTCCCTGAAGTGAAAGATGCGACATCAAATGTAAGAATTATTATTACTTTATTTCATGCTATCTTTTGTTTGTGCAGGATTTGTTCAAAGTTTTGGAAAGAAATGGAGGAGAAAATAATGAATCTTATTATCAAATATTATGGAGACAAGGTTTGGATCCAGTGTGAATTTGAGAATTGCTTGAAATGGAGGATTTTGACAAGTGAAGATGCCTCAGTTGTGGATTCAAATAAACCATGGTATTGTAATATGAATCCTAATTCCTCATTTAGCAGCTGTTCTGTGGCTGAAGAGAGATACCCAGAGGAGTCTGCATTTCACAAATACGGACTAAAGCTTGTCTACTCACAACTTCCTTTAGGGAGTTTGGTTTTGGCTAAGATGTCTGGATGGCCCAGGTGAGATATGTCTCTTTGGTAATATGTCTTCACAATAATAATACTGTATGTTTGGCCTTAAAGCAGCTCTGACTTGAACAATACACTTGGCTCCAGTATAAACCGAAAACACGTGACAAGTAGCACAAAATTATGATAAAGCTGTGGGTGACGAGGTAATATGTGGATTATTGTCTATTTTATGAATTTAAATATCGCATTGCTGATTTGCTGTTTCATTTTCAAACAAATATATGCTTCTGGTCACATTTGTTATAATTTGGAAGATTTTGGTCCTAAAGCCCTCGCAACTGTTCTATAAAATATTTGGTCACACGTGTACTCTGCCAGGTCATGCAAGAAAAAAAGCTTGATGTTCAATTTGGATTACTTACAGGAGTTAAATTTCCAATGCATGTGCTTCGGAAACAACAACAACTTGCATTTATATAGTGTCCCTCACGCAGCGTATCATCCCAGAACACGTGAGAGTGGCAGAGCGCAGGCAAATTTTGATGTATTTAAAATTTAAACTTAGTTTGATTCCCTCACCAATTTTCTTCATTACCTCTTCCCTTGAAGATGTTTGTCTCCTTTTCTTTGGTCGGGGTAACTTACATTCCCTGATAACAAAAAATACCCGGATAAGCAGAACCATATTAAGATGCACCCCATTTATTTTTCTAGATTGAAACTCATAACTGCTCATATTGACCATGTATTGAGCAGCACAAATGTTTCAACACGAGCGCGATAGATCACTCCCATTGCAGTATGTTTTATACTGGTATCTGTGTAGAGGTGCGGTATTGTAAACATATCCTGGACTCCAAAAGGCGACATACCAACTGTGTCTGCTTCTGCATTTCTGCTGCAGTTGATTCTTGTGTGCAGTACCTCATCAAAATGCAGATGGAGGCAGCAGCTGTACCAATCCACTATGAATGTACTTGAACGATCAGCACAAGATAGACTGGTTGAGGTACCCATGGAAGTCTGAGAATAATCAAAGTAGGGCTTAATACACGATGAGGTATGCTAACGCCAGCAAACTTTTCAGTAGGCAAGTGGGAGACCAACAATTCACTGGCGTAAGAGAGCAGATGTTTTAGACTTAAGTTCAGTGAACTCCGAAGTACCAATCCCAGATTCTAGAAACAAATGACAAATAAATCAATTTAGAAGATTCTCTAGTTATCGGTTTATGACCTTGTTGACAATATTATACTGCTCTCCCCTAGTCGGTAAGACACACAGTACGAAGATTAATAACATTACAGACAAGTGAAGAATAATTTCTTGCTAAATTTAAGTTGGGAATAGCATTAGGATTCTTGGAAATCTGCGACTTGGGCTCAGTTTTTTGGAAAAACAATTTGTGATTGTTGATTTAAATGGATTAAATTGAAATTATGATGATTTTAATACACTTGTAAATTTCCCTTTCTTTTATACTTTGTTCAAGGAAAAGAAGGGAGAATGTATAAGTTATCTGTATGAACATGGTATGGTGCGGAATTTGCTTTTTTCAGAATTGACAATTTTTTTCCAGGCTAAAGTGAGTGTAGGAAACACAAACATATAGTGTACAGTATAGGAAACAACATATTTTTGATTTCCAGTTATCATCATCCATGAAGCAAGCACCAGCTCAAATATATCCACTGTGTGAGGTATAGATCTTGTGTGGATACACAAGATAAACCATTTTAGATTCATGAAGAAGGGAGTAGGAGAGTTTGGAGAGGGATCCAGTGCAGGATTGTAAAGTGTGGATATTAATCTTTTTTAAAATTGGTCATATCAGCAACAATAAGACTTACATTTGATGTAGCATCTTTCACATTGGAAGGATATTCAAAGCACATCACAGGATTTGCTGTAAGGTGTTTCACTGTAAACTGTTCTCTGTTGGCGAACGTATTCTAGAAGGGTGAGATCAAATGGCCAATCCGCCTTTTTCATATGTATTTCTTTTGTGATGTGAATAATTTCCATTTGAAAAGCTCACATAAACAACCCGTGGCCTCCCTTTCCTCTCCTCCAGGCCTATATATTTACCAACACCCGCTCACCAATGCTTGTCGGCAAGCAGAAAACTCCTTGGTAATCCGCCACCATGCACTATGGAAACTGCTGGCTATTGATAACAGTGTGATGGCTCTTCAACACAGTATATTCAACCAATCTATTGTGGCTATCACCAGAGAGCATGAAGTGTGACTGGAAAATGATTATATGATTGTCTTGGATTTAGAGAAATTAATTTCAGATTTGTGCACTTGTATCAGCAGACAAACAGAATAAATGTAGGAACTTCTATATTTAGGAATTTTTAAAGATCTAACTTATAGTAACTGGCTTAATAACGACAACAACAATTTGCATATAGTGCCCTTCACACAGGGTAGCATCCCGGAGTACTTTACAGTGGCGAAGTCTAACGACGAGGGAGGGGGGAGGTGACCGTAAACACATTCAGAAAGGAAGATCTTCAGTCGGGATTTGGAGGTGGGGAGGGAGGGGGCAAGGCGGAGGGATTGAGGGAGAGAGTTCCAGAGTTTCGGAGCGTAGTGGCTGAAGGCACGGCCACCAATGGTGGAACGGAGGGCCTGAGGGCCAAATAGGAGACTGGAGCCAGCCGAGTGGAGGCAGCAGGTGATGGAGTGGAGGGTGGGGGGTTGCAGATCGGATAGGTAGGGAAGTGTGAGGGTATGAAGTGATTTGAAAATGCGTGTGAGCTTCTTGAAATTGATCTGTCTGGTGATCGGAAGCCAGTGGAGCCTGGCAAGGACTGGTGTGATGGGGGAACGAGTTTCATGCAGGTGAGTATCCGGGCGGTGGAGTTTTTAATTAATTGAATTTTGTGTACGATGGAGCTGGAGGGCGTTGGAGGAGGGCATTGGAATAATCCAGCTGGGAAGTGACGAAGGAGTGGACGAGAGTTTCAGCTGCGTCGGCTATGAGGTATGGACGGAGGCGATCAATGTGGTGGAAAAATATGACGGAGAAATACAGTAAAATGTGGAAAAGGAGAATTTATCTAGAATAAAATGAAATAATCAACATTATTTTGGTTCTTTTGCGACAAGAGTGCTGGAAACGCAACTCTTTACAATTCACTTCAAGTATTATTTTTTTCATTTTATTATTTTAATTTAAAATAATTGACATTGATATCTTATTAACCTGATGGAAGGTGATAGTCTGTCTCATATAGCATGTTGATAAATGGATGTACAAATCAGTAAATTAGTAGCACTAAGCTAATTGCAAAACACTGTACAGTATATTCAGAAGCAAGCACCACCATATAATTTATTCCAGATTGACCTGACTGAAACAATTGAATAAACTGAGATTGCTCTGTCCAAAGTAACAAATTAAATCACAGTTCTTACTCAGAAATAATAATCTCCTTGCTTGTCAATATGCCTTCTCATCTGTGTAATAGTTGCTCCTATGGACTTTAACAAGACCTTAACAATTTAACTTTTTCTTCTTTATTGCTGCTAATTTTAAAGCTACTTTGGAAATGGAGCTGGTGGGTGGCCCTATAAAAAAAATCGCTTGTACAATTACCTGGACTTCCATCTATGTTATAGCAATATTCGTGACCTGAGCAGTTCTTGTTTTCAATCTCCGCAGCTAAACCCTAAAATCCCCAGCCTCCTGGAAACTATAATGGAAAGGTTTCCTTGACACACAATTCAATTTGTTTCAACATTGAGTGAGCATGGAATTGGTATGATGTGAATTGCTAGCAATGTAATTTAATTTAAAATATTCATTATTGTCAATGTGGAAGTACAATTGATGCAAAACATTACAATTTTCTATAGCAAATTACATACATGATGTGCTCGTGCTATAAATTTGTTGCATTTTGTACTTGATAGTGATGGACTTTGTACTTTAAAGTACAGTGGTAATTCGTACAACATGAGGGTCTTTCATATGGAGTTTAAAAAAAATCTAGTGTGGAATTAAAAACAAATGTAGTTTATTTTTCTTCAGACTGAATTTGTGCCATTTATTATGATAATGAAGTAGCTAAGGATACAAACCCACTCAGTATGTCACTGATAGATTAAGTTCTTGTAGCTGGGATGACTTCATGAATTTCAATTTGTGGAATAAATTGATTATTTCCTGATTAGCTTTGAAATGTATGTGTGCATCCATTTGTAAGGTTCACCATGGCAAAATTAGGATTGGGAAATTAAAATTAGTCTTGTCGGGCTCACTATTGGCTATATTTCTTGGACAAATAATACATATTCTCTATTTCTCTAATTTGTCGTTAAACAAGTAGTGTTAGTAGAATTCAGAAATCATGCATGATATTATATCTTCAAAATAAAATGCATTTTTCAACAATTCATTATGTTGATGAATGCTCTTGAAATCATAGAAATACAGTTGAATTATTACAACTTGCTCATGCTAGTGCTTATACTCCACATGAGCCTCTCGCCCTCCTAATACTTATTCCCATAGCCGTCTATTTCCTCTTCCCTTTTGTGTGCATTGAGTTTCCTTCTTCAATACATTAATACTTTCTGTTTTAACTGCAACTTTCAGCGTGGGGTCCACATTCTCATGACCGCTCTGTGTAAAGAAGATCCTTCTAAACTTCCTTTTGGATCTGCTTGCGGCAGTCTTCTATACATGTCCCCTCATTTTAGACAAAGCAACAATTGGAAAGTGTCTATTTATGTCGATTTTCGGATCATTTCATAAACGGCTGAATTTTGTTCCTCTCAATTGTTTGATTTCCAGGGAAAAAAGCTCTTGTTGTCCAATTTTTCTTGATGGCTGTATCCACTCATTCTATGTTGCAATCATTCCATTGCTACAGTATCCTTCTTGTAATATGCAACCAGAACTGCGCACAGTAGCACTTCACTTGATTTGCTTTAAAGTGTAGTGACTGTGCATCAATAAGGCAAATGTATTAGCGATGTGCAGCCATTGGGTCAATGTTCCTGCAAACGCAATGCAATCCAACTCATTTTAAT